TTGCACTAAACTAGCTTTTACAAAGTAAGTTTAGTAACAGGTGAATTTTTCCTATTAAACTTAATAAAATAACTTTGCAGTCTCAATTTTACTAAGAAAACTTAATAATAATTGCCAACGTAGCTTCAGCTTTTCTAAGAAAATTTAGTAATAACTGTTATTTCAGCTTCATAACTATTTATTAGTAAAAAATGTTTTTGAACCTGCAGAGGCATTTTTTACTATGTTTTCTTAGTAAAATAATGTTTTTAAAGTTGTAAAAGCATTTTTTTATTATGTTTTCTTAGTAAAATAATATCTCTGAAGTAATAAAAGCGTTTTTTACTATATTTTCTTAGTAAAATAATGTTTTTGAAGCTGCAGAGGCGTTTTTTATTATGTTTTTCTAGTAAAATAATGTTTCTGAAGTTGTGAAGGCATTTTTTCTTATAAAATAATGTTTCTAATTTTTACTATGTTTTTCTTAGTAAAAAGGCATTTTCAAAGCTGTATAAACACTTTTTGCTATTTTTTTTTAGTAAAAAAGCATTTTTGAAATTATAGAGGTGCTTTTTGCTATATTTTCTTAGTAAAAAAGGTATTTCTGAAGCTGCAAAGGCATTTTTTACTATAGTTTTCTTAGTAAAAGCTACTTTTAAAGCTTTAGAAATAGCTTTATTATTGATTCGAATCAAATCAAATATTTAAATACTTGATTTGAATTTGATCAAATCGAATCAATCATTAATTTAAATTTGATTAAATAAATCATTCTTTAATTTAAATTTGATTAAATCAAATATTCAAATATTAAATCAAATTGCAGAACCTTAGTTATTATATTATAAAGTAATTACTTATTTTTAATACATAACAATAAATTAGGATATAAGATTTTCAGGATTTTGAATCATTCAAGATATAAGATCTTTAGAATCATAATCTTTCAGAATTTTAACTTTTGGGATTTTAAATCATACAGGAAAATAAACTTTTAGAATACTGATTCGTCATTATTTTATATTTTTTGGATTTATAGAATCAAAATTATAATCCATTAGAATTATGTCTATTAGGATTTCATGGTAAACTCCACTTATGATCTGTTATATCAAGAAATTTGTGAAATTCAAATTCATTATAAAGCGAGTAGACTGTAATTATTTAATTTATTATATTAATCTTTTTTTATTATTGAAAATATATTAATTAATTTTAAATTTATATTTCTAGTATTAATGTGTTTATTAATCTATTGATTATTTTATAAATAAATAATATATATAAAATATTTTACAAATGTTTTTAATAAATTTATTTATTAAAACAAAAAAAAAAGATTTTTTAATCCTAAATTAATACAAAAATTCATAAAAAAATTTTTTGATTTTATTTAAAAAAAACATGATTAAAATATTATTTTTTTGATAAATAATTCTTAATATGCTTAAATTAACTTTAGTTAATAATTGATTTTACAAGTAAAATTTGAAGGAAAACTATTAAAATAATAAAAATCTTATTTGTTTAGCTCATACAATTTAATTTGAAATATTAGTTAAAACAGAATTAAAACAGAAATTTAATTAGTTAGCTAATTAAAATAAAAATATAGTTTTAATTAATATTATTTAGATTTGAATTATAATTAATGTTTTATATTTAAATTCATATTTTTGAAAATAATACTTCTAAATCTTAAATTTTGCAGCTGCTAATTATATTAATCATATAAAACATATAAAACCTCTATCATATGAAACATATACTATAGTTAGTATGATCAAATAGTATGTATAATAATTAAATTATTCGCATGGAAAGAATTATTCCAATAAATAGTAGTGCCAGATTTTGAAGTCGGCACAGCCGTTAGACAATTTTCAGTCAACTCAGCCGTCGGCTGAATCATGACTCTCATTTTAAATTAACGATCATAATTGTATTATTATTAATATCTAACAAAAATAAATTAATGTTGCAAAAATTAGATAATCATAAGTTTAATCAAAATTTGTAACTTTATTTAATTAAGAATTTCACGATACGCTCATGATATCTAATTTGTAAAAGCGAATCAGTCATGGCTTAGTCATTTGAAAATTCCGGAGCGTCGACTCTGACTCTAACGGCTGCTACTAACTAGCTGTATATGTTTATATGGGAGGTTTGCTATTAAAATTCATATGATTTACCTAATTTTAATAGCAAACGATCCATATTGTGGTAAAGCAAATGATATTGCTTATAATGGTGCGTAATGATGGCTTAAGTGAATAAGAAAGAAAATATTTTGAAGTTATTATAGTTCTGACGAACGTGGCACTCATATATATTCAATCTTACGAAGGGATATTTTGATGTTAAAATTTCTTTGTATGTGACTACATTAAAGAATTCTAATGTGGGTGGTATGCTATTAAAATTTAGGTACGAAACATAGTAAATCATATGATCCGTACCTCAATTTTAATAGCACACCACCCGTGATCTCGGAGCTTAACTCAAAAATAATTTTAGTTTTGCAGATTTCTAAACAAATGCCTAAGAAATCAATAAAAAAAAAACGAACAAAATGAAGAATCAGCAGCGCCAATAGCTGCAAAATCTACAAAACTTCGACCAAAGTTATTGCAAAAAATCTCATTATTTCTAAATTAGATATTAAGATCTTTATTTTCTTCTCTATACATAGCATAGAGTGTGCAAAAAAAAAAAATAATTTATAAAAATAATTTATTTGTGAAGGTAACAAATTTCTTTAATTGATTTGCATCCCTAACATTTTATTTTTTATATTAGTCATTTCACAATCAATTAAACCGTTCGTTCCTATTTGTGCGCTCAGGTCGAGTAGGAATTAATTAGCCTAAAAATTTCTAAATAATCTTTCTCTGCAAATTGCTATTATAACAAATTATATCGATTTTTTGAAAGGTTTCAAAATCTTGCACAAAAAAACAAAAGCTGGACATTTAAAAAAAAAAAGATCACTGAAAAGAAAGTTTCGATTTGAATGTATATATTTTTTTAAAAAATCCAGGAATGCCAAAACTATTTTCAAGACAAATTAAATGCTTTCTTTGCATAAACAAAACACTGGTTTCATTTCATTATGAGAAAAATTAGTTTGGCTTGTCAGTTCTGAATCTTTAAAGTTTCGAACATTATTTTATGTACCACGAGCTGAAATGAAAACATCGTGTGCAATACTGAGAAAAACTGACAACGAACTAGCCCTTTTTATTGATGATTTGTATGTCTAATCTAAAATGATATAATGATATCGATCTATTAAATGATGTAATATAAATTTCAATTGAATGTTCAAGTTGTTTTTGCTATATATAGATTCTAAAAGAAAATGCTGTTGTTCATGCTTTTATCACATTTAAATTTTTTATCAAGTCAAATATAATAACTATCATTTGCGTCTGTGAATATCGTTAGTAATAAAATACCATTAAAACATAGTTATTGAAAACATACATGTTTGTCTATATTAATAATATTATAATCATGCTATACAATTAGGCAGCGTCGGTTTTATTTATTTTTGGATTATGTCGAAAAGTTTGAATGGATACATTTCAACAAATGAACGTTGCCTGTATAATTTGAATTTGTTTTTAAAAATTAAAAAGATTTTAATGAGAATTTCTAGAATTTATTTAATGATCTGTATATAATAAATGAAAGACAAAAGAGAAGAAAAATGTCAAGGAGAAAAAGATTGTAATAATGAATAAATGTCTAATTATGCAGGATGATATAATGTTGCCTATGCGATTTTGGTTGCATACATTAAAAAAATTTCAAGGTTAATCAATATAATAAGTCGATGATCATATTTTTTAACCATCGTGAAGTTTTTATATAAAAAGTATTCTAATTTTAATAAATGACAATTTTTACAATATTGTTAAAAATCGTAGGAAGATGTATTGAAGAAATTCGAATATTTCCATAATAAGAAATCCGAGACAAATTCCAGCGGCGAAGTACAAAGTGTTTGACATCCTTTGGTTAAAATCTTTTTTTCTTTTTTTTTATAAAGGTAACGATAATACGAAATTATTATTGAAAAGTCGAAAGAATTTGAATTTATTTAAATAAATCAGAATTATTTGATCAATTAAGCAATATACACAAAAAAATTTCTTTACAAACAATAATTAAAGGTATATATAAATTTGTTTTTTATTATTTAGTTGGTAAATTTTAGCCCCTTAAATTATTTATGCACTCATAATAAAATGAATTCTTTTAGGTTAATTATATAACGTTCATTTATTTCTTAATATTGTAATAATTAATTTAATTAATTGATCGATCAATTTTTTTCAAATTAAATTACAATTATACATCTCTTCGGTAATATGGTTAGCATTTCTTCCATGATGAAATGACGCAATTTAATTAACTCGGGCCAAATCCCGATTACAGCCGATTGACGTAACCTTAATTTTTTTAGAACGAAAGGAATAATTCGGGAAGAAATAATCTAGAATGTTTATTAATTCAATGACAAATAAATCACGTTATTATGACACACATATGATACAATAAATAATAACGTTAATTCTATCCCAACAGTTTTTTTTTATTTTTATTTTTTTTATAAAGATAGAAATCAGCCGAACTGCAGAAAATAAAATAAACCGAAAAATATTAATATTTCAATTATAATGGAATTTTATATGGACAATTTTTCTTGCACACTATACAGAAGAATTAGAGAGCACATGTCAACATACTGTATGTCCGATGATCATCTCTGTTAAATGATAATCCCCATTTTTGTACGAATTGTTTGTTTATATAAAACCTCAGAAATCTTTCATGGAATTTTTTTTTCCTTTTTTCTTTTCTTTTGTTACTTTTACATTTCACTAAAATTTCGGTCAAATTATTTCATTATTTTCAATGTAAGTTCTTCTAAATGCAATAATTTTAAAAGACGCAACATAGTAAAATTTATTAATTAGGCAAATAATAATTTATTAGATTAAATAATTACGATGACTGTCTCAAATATAAATTTTCAAATACGGAAATTCCTCGCGGGAGTCTTACTTTTAAATCCGATACAAATAGCATATTCTGCTCCAGCTCGTTCATCAAAAAATAATTGGGTTTTTTGGTACTACGTAAATGATGGTCAGAATAGAGATTGTGCTAATTATTGTATTCTTACTTTCTCAATTGTAGGAATTATAATTTTAATATTGATCTTATGTGGTTGTTGGAGTTGTTATCGTATAAAGAAACGATCTAAAGAAGATTACAATGATAGAATTAAACGAAGTGAAAGTATGTCAGAAGTCCGCTGATACAAAGATATTTTTTTTTTTCCTTTTTTTCTTTTAGTAAATAGATGAAAGATTTGTACATTATTTTATTTGTATATATATTATCGACACAAGTTTCTTTCACCTTTTTACTTTATTTGCAAACAAAAATCATGTTCATTGCCGATCATTTACTTAACATTCATTGAACCGGTATATAACTTGGTCATTTTATTTGTCACATGAACTAAAATAATACTCTGAAAATAATAAAGAATAAATCTTGCTTGGATTTACCATATTTGGAAAAATCTAAAATTCAATGATATAAAAGGCAAAAATCTATTATATTTTAACGATGTTAGAAAATATAAATACACTTCGCAAGTTTGAATTTTCAATCTATAATGATAACGTTCAAACACTTTCGCATAAAAGTTGTGTAACTAAATTTATTATTGATGTGGTGGAGTCACGTAACCTATGGAAAATGGATAGAAATAGAATAATCGAAGTGGGTAAAAAGTACTACGTTACCATCATAAAAATTTTTTTTTTTTGTATTTCGTTTGTAACATTAGCAGGGCAGGTTATTTGCATGACACATTGAATAATGGCTTTTTTTCTTGCAATAAAAGAAAATAAAAATGACAATAAGATAGATATTTTCATTGTCCTAGCCTTAAAACTATTAATGACTTCATTATTATGAACAAAGAAAATGAGTGTAACGATTTCCGAAAATATGATAGATAATTGTAATCGACTAATTAGTCCTTTGGTTTTAAAAATAAATGACTATTAAAGTCTTATTAGTTTCAATCAATCACGAAATTAATTTTTGGCCGACGATTTAAGTATACAATTAATCTCATTAAAACCTATATGAGGACACGAGGAAAGGTAAATGTTTATAATTTTATTTAATAAGTCCTTTCAAGGATATTTATATAATATAAATAAAATATATATGGGAAGGTTGCCAGTAAAATCAGTCATATGTGATTTCAAGGCAACGCTATAACTACTACTCTTGCGATAATAATGTTAATACAATACATTCTTCGCATGGTCACATGAACCGCAGTAAATGTCTATTATAACTTTAATAATATTTTTAAGAGCAATTTTAATTTAATGTCACAAGCAATAATGAAAGTTTCATAAAGATGATCAAAACATTTTTAATTCAATAACTCTAAGAACATGTGTGTGATTTTGTTATTTATATGGAAATCAAAAGATATATGATCCGTAACGTGATTTGCTCATATGCCACAAAATTTATTTTTGTAATATTGGTTATCTTCATTTTCATATATAGAAATTATAATTTTTATTTTATATTATTATATTTAAGCTATCTTAATATAAAATGATTTTTAAGTATTTTTTTAAAATTATATTATATATAAAATAAATATTTATATCATAAAATACATAATATAAAAAGAAAAAAATTAATTTAATCTGTATCTTTCAGCTTTATTTATATAATAGTAACAATTATTATAATTAAGAAAATTTCTTTTTATTTTTTTAATTTTATTTATACTTGCAATTAATTTTTGAATTTTATAAATCAATAATAAAAAGTTATACTTTAAGCTTTATAAAAAATATTATTAAATATATTTAGTAATTAGCTAATACTTAAGAAGGATAAAATTGTGAGTTTTAGGAAATAAATAAATATGTTATATAGAAAAGCATTCCAGCATATCCCAGAATTAATTCTAGATATATATCATTATATCACTAATATTAATTTTAAGATACTAGCCAACTTTGACTCAAATTATATTATATAATACTCAGATATCTTTTTAGGTTCTTAAATACTAAAAATATTATTATATTATATAGCTTTTTTAATCAATTTAAAATATTAAAAAATTTATCTATATTGCTTGTCTTAGAAAAGCTTAATATCATGAAAAATATAAAATGATATTGATAACTTTTCAAATTAAATATAAATAATAATTTGTATATTATACTACTTGTTTTAGAAAATCTTTAAGATTATCACTAATCAAAATAATTCATTTTGATACTTTTTAAAGTGCTGAATTTTAGCTGAAATATAATCTAATTTCTGCTGATTATTACCAAAACAATCAGCAATTTAGCTATAGCTAAGGTTGTCTAATTCAAATATTACACAAATAAACATTTGATATTAATAATTGATAGTTATTAGATATATATATCACTAGGTAAAATGATATAATTTATCACATTTTAAAGTGCTGAAAGTTGACTAAAATATAGCCTAATTCTGCTGATTATTGCCAAAAAATTAGCATTTTAAATAAATATAAAATCAGTTACCAATTAGTATTATATTAAAATTAGTCAAAATTAGACATAAATTAACTTAAAATCATTTAAAAATAGCTAAAAATCAATTAAACAATTATTTATAAAATCAAAATTAATAAAGCTCATTTTTTTATTTATTATTTATAATTTTATTTTATTATTACATAATAAATTATTCAAAGAACTTATAGGAGCTTTGCAATAGAAAGGAAGGAAACTTTAAAAAAATTAAAATTTTATTTTCTAAGCCAATTATGATTTTTTTAGTAAAATAAGTTTAAATTTAATATTAACTCAAAAAAAATTCTTTTAGAGTTTCCTTCCTTTTTACTGCAAAGCTCTCATATATTGCATTATATTTTATTCAAAAAGATATATTTTATTTTTAAAGATAAGAAAACATAAAGTAAATAGTTAAAAAACTATCAAATACCATCTTCAAAAGGCTTACTTTAATGTATTCCTAAAGAAAGTAAATAAAAAATAAAGAAAATAGTAAAAAACTACCAAATAATTACTTACAAAAAGCTTACCTTAATAAATTCATAAAGAATGTAACTAAAAATAAAGAAAACAATTAAAAAACCACTAATTCCTAAAAAAATAAAGAAAACAATTAAAAACTACTAAATTATCATTTTCAAAAGGCTTACCTTAATGTATTCCTAAAGAAAGCAAATAAAAAATAAAGAAAATAGTTAAAAAACTACTAAAATACTACCTTCAAAAGGCTAACCTTAATGTATTTCCAAAAAAATAAAGAAAAAATAAAGAAAACAATTAAAAAATTCATCAAAAACTATTTCTGATTTACTTATCTTAATGTATTTCTAAAAAAAAAAGTAAAAAAAAAATAAAGAAAATAGTTAAAAAACCACCTTTAATTTATTTATCTATCTTAATGTATTTTTAAAGAAAAAGTAAAGAAAACAATTAAAAACCATCATAAAGTTACTTCTAAAAAGCTTACCTTTGTGTATTTCTAAAGAAAGTAAAAAAAAAATAAGAAAAAAAGGTTAAAAACCATCTAAAATCACCTTTGAAAGGCTTACCTTAGTTTTAAAAAGAGAATTTTCCTAAAAAATTAAAGAAAAATTGTTAAAACCATTTAAAAGTCATCTCTAAAAGGCTTATTTTAGTTTTGAAAAGAGAAATTTCCTAAAAAAAACAAAAAAAAAGATTAAAAACCATCTAAAAGTCATTTTTAATTTGCTTATCTTAATTCCAAAATAAGAATTTTCTAAAAAAAACAAAAAAAAAGGAAAATGTCAGAATAGTCACTTCTGATTTACTTATGAAAAAAGAAAGGAAAAAGTTAAATTTCTGCTCAAAAATCGCCTTACTAGAAAAAAAAAAGGAAAAAATTTCAATTAATACCAAATTTAAATATTATTTATTACTTAAGAATGATTTATCAAATACTTCAAACAGATGATTTTATATCATCTGATTAGAACAATATAGAAAACTTTCAAAAGGAATGATAATTAATTAATGCTAAATTATATAATAAATTACTTTCGATTTTTATAACTAAAGCTAAATTTTTCTGAATTATATAATTGAATCAGCTAAATGGTTATCAAAAAATCTAATGCTGAAATAATGATAAATTATATGTGATATAACAAATTACCATCAATATTTATAATTCAAGCTGAATTTTGCTAAATCATATGACTGAATTAGCTGAATGTTTACCAAAAGGTATTAGTGGCAAAAAAATGATTTTAATTAGTATATAAAGGATGCAAAGTATTTTAAATAATAACAATATAATTTAATAAGCTAAATATATATACTAATTTATAAAATTTATTCTAAAAGCAATGTTTTATAAAATATAAAGGGTTAATAATCTCAAATATATGTATACTTATATTAATTATAAATTATTAACCTAACTTTTTTTACATATTTTCTTACATATATATTTTATATTTGATTTCTAAATATTGGTAGATACTAGATCTTAGCCTACACTATTTAATCCTAATTCTAATACTTATCTTAATTAATCTTAATTTTGATTAATATTTTGTATCTATCAAGGTAAATTCAGAATCTATATAGATTCCATTCTTACCTATAATTAGTGATACCCGACTAAACTCTTTTTTGAAAAATTGTAATTTCGTCAAAAGTTTCGTTTCTTTAATATTTTTATATGAATAAATATAAATTTATTATATTTTTTAATGTATTTTAATTCAAGGAATTTAGATCAAGTTAAATATAATTTCGGCAATTAAATAAAATAATTTCGTCATTAATGAAAAACTAATTTCGTCATTTTGGTTTCATCAATTTTGTCATATTAAGAAAGGTAATTTCGTCAGGTATCACTACTTATAATATATATACTAGAAATCATTCTAAAGTCAAAATATTTCTAAAGTAAAAAGTATTATTTAAAATATATATATAATATGTCTTATTACTAAGAATTATTGCAGAAATATATATATATCTTACTAATAAGACAAAAAAAATTTCATCTCTTAAATATAAATATATTAAATGTTATTAAGTTTTACTTCTAGATATATATATAAGAGGTAGTTAATAGAAAAAGAGAAATTTTGGTCAAAATTTATATTATTAAACCACTTGGCTGATTTCGATTATATGTATAAATTTAGTTTAATAATAAAAATTAACAAAATTTTGGATTTCTTCCTTTTCTACTGACTGTTTCTCATATATTAAAATCATTA